CACTTTGGACTTGGGCAGCAAGGCGTGCCAGCTGGGTATTGAATAGATTTCAACTAGTCAAAGGTGCAACTCCGTATGAACTTGCTTGTGGCAAGAGTTACAAAGGACTTTTGGCAGAATACGGTGAACCAGTTCATGGTTACAGCAGAAGTCTCAACAAAGGAGAAGCCAGATGGCGTCTATGCTTGTTCTTGGGAAACGTGGAAAGACAGACACCTATGTGCTGACAGATGGTGTGCAGGTAGTGCTAAGGACACGCGCTAGAAGAACAGATCAAGTTTGGCCCAAAATCTTGGCAATCTACAAAAGCTTCAATGCCTATTCATGGGAGTACCAGACAAACTTTGGAGGCGTAATTATTGCCACAAGGAGGAGAGCAGAAGCGTTGCCAGCAGCGCAGACAAACATTCCTCGAGAACATGTGGTGTTGAAGTTCAAGGACGAAGACGCAGAAGCAGTGTTTGCAAAAGCCCTGGAAGGAGGAAGTGACTCAGAGAAAGAGGAAGCACTATTCCCAGAACCAGTACCGATTCCAGGCTGGAAACCCTTGTGGAAGCAATGACAAGAGATGGAGATGAAATGAGGCCAAGCGGAAAAGGAACCCCAAGTAAGAAGCAGAATGTTTTCTTTGCAGATGAGAAGACACTTGAGAAGGTGAAAGCGTTCCCATCTGCATCGTTGCCAGCAGGCCAGCCCAATCCAATTACTCCCATACTATCTCCATTGAGCTCATCATCAGCGCCTTCAAGACCAAGGGAAGCCTTTGAATTGCTTGAAGAAGAAAGCCCTATGAAGAAACTTAGGCCAGCAGAGGATTCAAGCAAGAAGTTCAAGATCAACAGCTTGGTGAAGGTTGCAGGAGAAGATCTCCATCGTGTAGATGAAGAGCTATCCCCAGCTGCAGAAGAAGTTGATGAAGGAGACTGGGAAGAAGAAGGGGATGAGGAAGAAGAAGATTAAGTGAATGGGTCACCATGGAGATGGAACAGCGAGCAAAAGGTGGAAGAGAAGATCCCGACTAGTTGCAAGAGAGCTTGCTCTCGCTGAAGGAAAGAGGGATGACATTTTCTCACCAGCGCTTCGCGACGTGTATACTGAAACTTCTACTTCTACCCACAATATTCTTGCAGAGAGTCGGTGAAGAGCAAGAAGCAAGAGTGGGAGAAGGAGCATTTTCCCAGATTCTAGGATGTCTTGATGTGAAAGATGCCTTCTTGCAAGTTCCACAGGCGAAACCTTGAAAGTGAATTTGAGAGGAAGAGAAATTTACCCGGACAAAGAGTTGGAGCGAGAACACGTTGTGACTTCTTTATAGAGTACCCGACCGAGGAACTCAATACATGTGCAGTGCTGAGTGTCCAAGCCTAGGAAGAAATGAGAAGAGTATCGTTTTGACCCGTGTGGACGTCTTGATTTTCACAGGTGGTTCAAAATACACCAATGAAATCTTTCTTCCAAAGATTCAAGACAGGTTTGACACCAGTGTGATCAAAATTGAGAGGATTGGAGATGAGCTCAATTTCCGGAGGAGGAGCTAGAAGCTAGAAGTCGATGGACTATGGGGGGTGCTGAAGCCTGTGAGGACCAGATTGGCGCTCAGAAGCATTGTTGGCTCAGATATCTACAGATGTCAAGAGAGGTATGATGTAGCAATTACAGTGAAAGAATTCTCTTCAAGAATTGCAAATCCGACAGATGTTTTTTCATCGCTGGAAGAAATTCTTAGGATACTTGAAGAAGACTTTGGACTATTGTCTAGTAGTTGAGTTTCCACAAGCAGGAGAAGGCAATGTCAAGAAAGGAGAAAGCGATTGGTGCTTGGAGACATTCTGAGATTCAGACTGGAGTGGGAGTGGAGACAAAAGCCACAGAAAGTCAATGACAGGAGGATTCCACGCACTGAACAGTTGTCCATTGTTCAATAGCGGCAGGACACAGAAGATCATCCGCTTATCTTCACGCGAAGCAGAGTTACGCGCAATAGTTTCTTCAGCTTCAGATGGAGTCTACGTTCGCTCAGTTCTTGAATTTGCGCTTGGCTTTGTAGAACAACAGGAGCCAGATACTCGCACCATAATCGCTTGTGATGTACTGAGTGAGCTGAACGCAGGAAACTTTTTCGCAAGAAGGAGGTTGGAAGATATGAGATCAACAAGTGGGCGATATCATGGACATTCTGTGATGTTGCAAGCAGAAGATTCAAGCCAGGAAATAGAGAATGCTTGAACAAAGTAGAATATGAGAGAGGGCGAGCGATACAGATGCGCGGTCGACTTGAAATGAAAGTTGAGCATCTGAGAGAAAGGCATTGGAGACGACTGGAAGAGGACACGAGGAAAACGGTTGAATACGAGAAGAATCGATAAGAACATGTGCTAGAACTTGCAGAAGTGAAGAGAGACAATCCAGAAAGTACCGCACCAGAGACCTCGACAAACTTAGAGGGGAGGAGAAATTCGAAAGGAACAATGTGGAAGTAGAGTGGGCTATGGTGGCAGAGTGAGCTAAGATAGCAGTTCGAGCGCTCACACTACCAAGAAGGAGTGTGAACAAGTTTCAATGTAGATCACAGCTTACATGTACAGCGTGTGCAGCAAATGAGACAACTGCGCAGCCCTTTTGCATTCAAGGAAAAGTTCGCATATCTATATATACATATATACAAATATACAGTTTTTGTTGGGGGGGGAGTAGGCTACTAGAAGAGGTAGAAGAGGTATCTACTAGCTACTAGTTCGCTTCTAGTAACTGGACGCAGGATAGTTCACGCTTCTAGACTTTTGGAAACTTGCTAACAAGTCCTTTACTTTGGTCCATGCAGGTTGTGCGATCTTGGCGGATGCGAGCTGCCAGAGGTGGCTGAGAGGCCAGCTTTGTTTCTACATTTCCAAGACCGTACCCCCCTTTGACCTTTCTTCATTCGTCGAATGGTGACAAAGTCATTCCATGGCCCCATTCTTCATAGCTTTTAGATGCTTTTAAGCCTTTCAGATAGACAGGAATGACGATGGTGTTGTTAATCGGGCAGGATTTATTTCACAAAACCCCAGATGCTGAACATGTTGTATGTTCTTTGTGTTTGATGTTTTTAAGGTCGCTTGGGTGTTGATCATCCAAGCTCCACCCCTGAATCCTTGCTGTCAGGTTAGCGCTCCTGGGTGTGAACGCAGTGGAAGAAACGATGTAAGAGGTGCTCCGTAAGGTTGTGGGTCCAATGGTCAAAGGCTAAGTCTAGTGCTTCAAGTGAAGTATATAGGATGAATATATCGTATGAGAGCAAGTTCACTGCCGTGCCGCTGCCTTTGTCCCTGAAATCCTGTATTTTCTTTTTGTGCAATTTTCCATTTTAGACTTGGCTCCTGCGTTGTTGCAAGGCGCTTTGCGCCACGGCGCCTGAGCAAATGCGAGTCTCACGACTGGGGTCAAAGCAGCTGGAAGTGAAGTGTAGGAAAGTAAAAGAACAGGTTGCTTGACAAGGCTTTATCCGTTTGTGGACTCTTATATACAAGGAAAAATAGTGCAGAAAACTATCTCAGCCAGCAGCACATGTCAGTAATTCCACATGGAGAAACAAACAATACTGGAACTTTGCTTTAGCTTCCAGGCTGTTCAGGAGAGAGGCCCAGGCGCGCGCCGCCGGGCACAGGCGTCCGAAAGAAAACAAGTGCAGGGATCTGTGGCGGCGGCAGTGCTGGTGTTAGGGCTAGGACGAGATGAGGATGATTGGTGTGGGATACTGTGATACCTTGAAAGTAGTCTTTCTTCGCGCTTCAACCCACATTATGATGGAAAGACTCACCCCAACCCACTTCACAGCATTGTCTTTCTGTACCGTCGCTGAGGTAACAAGACTGACCACATTCAATGTAGAGTAGAGCGAGGGCAATATTTTTGTTTGCAAGAGAACCATTGCAATCACAAAATCATCGAAACCATTGCAGATGTTGATAAAGGCATAGACATTCATGGCTATCTACTGTATTTTCTTTTGAGATAAGTTCCACACTGGGGGCAGTATGATGTGTGAGATGGTTCGGGTGAGAGCCCTGCGACTTGATCGGAATGAGCAGACGCCAGGATGAAAGTGTCTTCGAGACCCGCTTGCGTAAACTGGCCGATGAGGCAGGTCTCCTGTGGGTGAAATTACAAACGATTCGATGCTTTATCCCACCAGTTTTTTGCATTTCCGGATTTTGTTGGGAAATAATTCAGCAATTTGGAACTCAACCAAACGATAGTTCGGCCAGTCCACCTCCTGGCTACGGCACCAGGCCTTGCGAACAAGGATGGAAGGCGAGATGCAGGTTGGAAGAGTTGATTTCGCTATTGAGGAACATGTCATGAGGTGTTTTCTTGAGATTTCCGGTTCATAGCTCAGGCATAGATTGCTTATTGCTTGTGAAGCCAGGATGCCTTACACCAAATGGAGGAGCAGGTGCGGACCTTCCAAGGTGTGGTGGATCGGCGGCTGCAGGACCGTCTAGGTGGAAGGGGATGTGGGTGCCTAGCTGAGGCAGATGGAATTCATTGAAATTCAATGGAATTTGCACATGCAGCTAAAGACGGAGAGATCTGCCACCGAATTGCGCGATTGTTCCTTTTGGAGTGGAAGAGGAATCGTAGATGACCACCACTAGTAATCTGCGCATGACTGGAGCGTCCTGAAGCCTTTCGCTCAAACTCGCCCAAACATGGAGGGCAGATACTCAACCTGCACTTGGCACAGAGATGCGCCTTGCAAGTCGTATTTTTTCCAAACAAATGCAAGCGTTTCTATCACTACCATTGACGATGTGGAATGCAGACGAAGACCAATGTTGTCATGTTTGAATTATTTATGCTTTAATCCTTGCACATCCTTTCGAGCAGCATCTATGTTAGCAGCCACCTTTTGCTGGGCCTCTTCGGCACTTGGCCAGCCCAACCTCAACTACACCAAGTCATCCAGCAGCCATGAACAGCAATGAGCACTACATTCAAGCCAGATGGCTTTTGCTTGACAAACCACAGCTTGAATTCTTGTGCATCAGTCCCATACTCCTGAGGAGACGGGCGTGTCTTGGCTGGACGTGGGTTAGGGTTGCTCCACGCAGAGGTTTATAGTGTTTTGCTGTTCGGGGACAGGTTCAGCGAGAGTTCAGCTCAAGATTGCTTCGGTCTCGCTCCATGTGTAATCTGTGGGGGAGTGCTCCTTGGCAGCTTGCGGGCAGGGCCGCAGGGTTGGACAGACAAATTGTATTTTTCAAGTCAAGATACAACGAAGAAACCATTTCGGCTTGTCGAGGCATGGGTTGTTGCGGCACCAAGGGCTGATGCCTCAGTCCAGCTCAACCTGACTCCTGTTTTTGAAGGCATAAATTGTTTTTAGATTTTTTCTTAGCTCGGGGATCCCATAGTATGTGAGTGTGGTTTCCTGCGGCTGCGTTCGAGTGGAATCATTGCAAATAAAGCCTTTGAAGCCTCAGAGAATGGAACAGACTTTGAAATCCTTTTGAAGCCTCTGCACACGTCTCCTGATGTCCATGTCTCCAAGGTGCTGTTTGGAAAGCAAAACTTGAAGATGTGAAGTTGAGAATTGCTCCCCCCTTAGCTTTGCAGTCTCTCATCAACTTAGATATGTTACAGTACTCAGTACACTTTTGTTTTCAATATTGATCGTGCTTTTCAACCACTCTGCGCTTGGAACTAGTTTTAGATAGTTTTAGATTCACTTGTAACATTCCGTAAAGAGAGTTTTTCCAGCTGGTTGAGCAGCGCATTTGTCCAACTTGCGTGCCAGATGATGAGAAAGCCCTGGCGCAAGACCTATGCCTGGTGCTTAGTATGCTCTGAACTATGATAGTCGTCAATATGCCACGAGAAGCATAGGAAAGAAGTTTTAGGTGAATTTTGTGACTTTCAAAGTAGAGGAGCATACTGCAGCCACAACTATTGGCGGCAAGGCCAGCGGGCAGCCGCCAGACATTGCAGAGCTTAGCCGTGCGGCTGGGAGCCTGGAGTTGGGAACCAACGTTTGGAGAACTCTCGACTTCGCAATATCCTTGGTTAGCCATCTGGACCAGAACGGATTGGGTTGTAGACTTTTTCAGCGCCGTTTGCGTTTTTGAGGTCAACGACTTGGAGCAATGCCATGGTTATTTTGAGAGCGAGGGCACGGTCCGCCTCACTCAGTTGATCACTGGCGAGGTCGATGTGGTCAAAAGAACAGTCTTGTTTCTCCCAAAGGGACGACTCTGTGTAGGATGAGTGTACAGACATGGGTTGGCAATCAGGATCTCCCACGCCAGGATCGGGAATCCCTTGGCATCATCCAGAACCTGGCCAATGCGTTGGTTGAGGACTTCGGCGGGAATCAGCTGCAGTTTTCAGATATGAGGACAAATAGTGCTAGTGCCGTAGTAGTCGGCCAAGACTTAGATTTCAAGGATAAACTCAGATTCTGCAACTTTGCTCGATTCAGCAACTGCGATTCCACAACTACGTGATTCAGAAATTCTTCGCTTCCGCAACTTCTCCTTGCCGAAATTCAGAAACTTCCTGTGCCCGCTTGAGCAACTACTGTACCCGATTTATATAAAACATTCTATATAAAACGCTGTCAGTTTGGGGCTTGAGGGTGAGACTGGCTTAATTACATTTGCCAAATCATGTGGAATGCATTTCCAGATAGCCTGGGTCTGGTGCTGGTGGACAGGAGCTCCATAGTTTGATGGACCCTCGACTGATCAAGCAGCACAGAGGGGCGTTGGAGGTGCGGTCCAGTTCAGCAGCATCCACTGCTTCCAAAGTGTAGAATATTGTACTTGATTGACTAGACTCATCATCAGAGCTCTTAGAAAGGGACTTGTTAATGAGGCCAAGACTGGGCCAAGGACTTACAAGCTGCCCCAATTCATTCTGAACAAAACAAAGAAGCAAAGCGAGGTGTTCCTGAAAGCAAGCGCGGATAAAGAGGGAGTAGATTAACTGCGGCAATCCAAGGACGGGGGCCGGGCTGTATCGGTTTTTGCAAATCAAAGCAGGTGGAAGTATTGAGCTGCCTTGAAACATATTGAAACTGTAGATGTGGATTTCCGGTGGTTGGAGGCCATCGCTTCTAGGGTGGAGCCCATCGCTCTTAGAAACAAAGAACAGGCAGAAAGAAAGGTCTTAATATCGTTCTCGAGACCCGGTGTTCTCATTCCACACCTTCCACACCACATCTCCAAACTTTGGGAATACCTGGTCTTCCGGTGTTTCACTTTGTGCAAGCGAATGCGCACTCGCAGCATATGGTCCGCCTCAGCAAGCAAGTGAACAACTTCCGAGCTGGGCGGCTTGAAGGGGCTTGGAGACACGTGAAAACGATGTGAAAGACATGTGAAAAACGATGCGAAAATGATGTAAAGGTTCTTTCACCATCGTTCACCTTTCAAAAAGCAATGTGTGGTTGTTTGCATGTTTGCATTCTTTCTGCTGGATGCAAGTAAGGCCAGCTGCGAGTTGAGTAAGTTAAGTTTTCTAAAAATCTAGGAACCAAATGAGTAGCGCGAGAAGCGTGAGCTATCCTGTTTCCTACCTAGAAGCTAACTTAGCCTAGTAGTGAATTACCTCCTTACTTAATTGAGTAGGCGCCTACTTAATTGAGTAGGAGCAGGCAAACAACTCTTGTTATGTAAATACAAGCCTTGCGCGTGCCAGCGTCCTGACATTCGCGAGTGGTCTTGAGAGACCGAGCCTGACTGAGGCAAACAAGTCGGACCTCGTGGGCCAGAAGTACAAGGCTCGGAAGCTGCCCAGTTGGAGAGGGGCTTGATTCTAGGAGCTACTGTATTCACGTCGCTTCGCGACGGTAACCGCCCGCACCGCATGGAAGGGGACAATATTTCCACCGAACATAGCCCCGGAAGTGATCCCCTCCCGGTCATGTTTCGAGATAGGGATTTAACATGGCCCAATGTAGTTGGGGGGTTAAAAGACTGCTACCGTCAGTAAGGAACACGATCTGGAAGGGGGTCTTGTGCTCTTGGAGCCAAGGGAGTCAGTATGAAAGGAAGATAGGGACTTGACCGTCGCACTTCTAAAGCTATGCCAGGCAATATGGACGCTATGTTTGGCCACGTTAGGGGGGGTTTTATTCCAGTTTACGACGTTCAAGTCCCTATCTCGCAGACACGTCCTTTAGATAGTGACTTCTAGGGCTCTGTTAGGCAATATCTTCACTCTATTCCAGTCCCTTTGGAGCCTTCGTTGGGCCATGTTTACGACGTTCAAGTACCTATCTCGGGGAAGCATACTTGAGATAGTGACTTCTGGGGTTATGTTCGACCATATGGGAGCTATGGTCGTGAGATAATGTTACCGTTCCTGGACCTGATCTGCTTATCTCTGCTCCTGACCAGCCACGTACCCGGACGTTCAAGTCCCTATCTCGCAGACACGTCCGTTAGATAGTGACTTCTAGGGCTATGTTACGCAATATGGAAGCTATGTTGAGCCCCGTTAGGGGAACCTGTTCAGCCAAATGTCCGGTCTCAGTCCAATTACACTGTACCGCTCAGATGATTCAGATGATGCAGATGATGCAAAGCAGAAAATTGCACTTCTTGCATCCCTAAAGGCTTCAAGATAGCAAACATTAGCACGAATTTATCTTCCAGCACTTTAAGCCGACTCCAAAAACGTGAAAAAGCACAGGATTCTAGAGCGAAAATGATCTCCACTTTCATTCTGAGGATCTAACCATTGAGTACTGTTCGTACTTGCTGTCGATTTGACTTTTGGTTTCCGAGCTCCACCCGGTTCCACCCTTTTGCACAGGCCCTGGTGAAAGAGGAGCTGAGGAAGTTGCTGGATTCTTGCGAGTACTCCATGTCGAGCACCCAGAGTGGATGAATTGACTGGAACAAACACCGAGTGCATAAACAGATGATGCAGAGCTTGAGGAGCTTCAGCACTTGTCGCCAAGGAGTGCATGTGAAGCGACTAGATTGCTTCCAACATCCAAAAAGGCACCGCGCAAGGTTTCCACTTCGAATTCTGACCATGTTTCAACAGGAAGCCAGTGGGATTCCTTGCGACAAATGATAGTCCAAAGTATCCTGTTACTGGCAGTGTGGATTTTTCTCTTTCAGCCTCAGCCTTCTGGAACCCCAATTCCCAACCTTTGAGGACATTTTCCATTCACCGGAAGTAACCTGGCTGTAGCGGCTTATCTTGGCACCCAGAAGCAAGTTCGGTCAATCTTCTGTGACTGTTGTCAGTGATGTTAGGAAGAATCAAAAAAGTCTGACATTTGTAGGGTGAGCTTCTCAATGTTTAGTTTCCCTCAAAATGGAAGAGCCAAATGATTAGCGTGAGCTATCCTGCGTCCGGTCGGTAGTAGCTTAAGTAGCTAGTAGCTTCCTTCTCCCTTACTTAATTAAGCAGGCGCCTACTTGATCAAGTAGGAGCGGGCAAACAAAAATGTTTCTTTTGTGTTCTGTGTACTTCGATTTGACGAGCATTTGCTGCCATGAGTGGGTGGATCCCCTTGGCCAAGTTGCCAGGTTGTTGGATCTCTAGAGGAAGCAGCCAAAATGCTGCGAGAGGCCAGCTTGGAAGACTGTTTGCAGATTTCCAAGACAAGATTATTTCAGGTCCGTGGGCTTTGCAAGGACACTGGGAGGTCCACCAAATAGATGGAGAAACATGTCGATCTGTAATTCACCGCGATCACTCTGCTCGAATCGCCGACCCTTATCCGATGCTGGAGCGACACCATCGCCATGACAGTGGACCGGCGGGGCGAGGCCTTCCGTGCTCGCCTGGCGGCACAGGCGGATGCCGCCTTGGCTGCTGGTCCAGAGAACCCCCTGAGACTACTGTTAGAAGCGGCACCTGGAACCAGGGAGGAAGAGACCCTTGGAATGAGCTGGCGATCCTGATCATTTTTGATATTTGTTTTGCTCATTGGACAGAATCTATAGGTTTGGTGTGTTTCAGGTGGTTTCCCTTCGGCAGTAAAATAGGGAAAGGGACAGAGTCTCACTTAGTGCCGTAGATCTTCCCAATCAACCAGCGGAGTGGATTTTGAAACGGCTTTTTGTCCAATCTTTTCCACCATTTGCACGACATTTGAGTATTTTATTGGGTCAATCCACAAACAAAACGGTTAAATCCACTCGACATGAGGGGAACACTAGGCCGATCCATTATGATCGACTGGAAGATGTTGGAAACCGAGGAAGGAACGCCTAAAAGCGGCAGAAAAGTTGCTGCTGGAAAGGCCAAGCCCCAAGGCTCTCAAAGACAAGGCCGAGCGAGGGTAGACTTTGGCCGTGGAACAGCGAGGGTTTAAGGAACATTTTTCCAAATGTTTAGTTTTGATCCCTTTGATATTTGCTGCTTGCAGCTGCCTCCTCGTGGAGACATGGCCACGACTGGACAGGTTGTGCCGCATGAAGAGCCGATGAATCTGCAAACTCTTCGACGTGCAGCCGAGGAGGGCGATCTCCAGGCCATGGCTCGGATCCTCGAAAACACAAGCTGGCCATTGTGACTTATATAACCGATGAATACTTATATATATATATATATTTGTACGTTACAAGAAGGCTTCTTGTACCTGGGAGCTTCAGGAAAAAGGTGCCATGGCATTTCGCACCTAATGTAAGACCCTGCTTTCAATGTTAGTTCGCAGTCCAGACTGCCTTTAAAGGTCCTTGTGGCAGTACTGTTCCCTTCCACTCCCAACACCTCATCGAGCGCTCATTTGCCCAAGGATGGACCTTCGGCTTCAAAGTGCTTTGGAGGAAGACGAGACCTTGCGACGGGTAGGGAATCGAGACTTCAAGGACCGGGCAAATGCTTGGGTCGTGAACAGTGTCGTCTGTTCATGGATGTTCAACTGGAATGGATGCTTAATTGGCAAGAACTGGCAATTGATTGCATTTGATGTTTCAGAACTGAGTCCTGGCCAGTGCAGTCGACAGACTGAGGACCCGAAGGCTCAAGCAGCCTTGCGCCTTTACCAGGAGAGGGCGATAGCACCATCTGTACACTGTTGGCGACTTTTTGGACGAGCGGGAATGATTCGTGCGGATCGACGTTGCAGCTGAATCTAAAGAGGGTGTCAGTCGACTGTTAGCTGCGAGGACTCGGTGACGCTGGGGAAGAAGAACGGGAACATTGACCGGGAAGCCTTTCAGGCGGTGATGCGAGATGATGCAGACGAGCCCTGGCGAAATACAGCCATGGTCTGGGCGACCTTGGGAGATTCAGGATCCTATACTCTTGGAGAACGAACTAGTGCCTCCACTTGGGGTTGGCAAGAGAATTAGTGCCTGAGGTACTACAGAAAATTGGCTTGACAGTAGAGTAGAGGGCTCAGCGATTTTGGAGGTTCACGACAAAGGCGTGTGTGGAAACTGAAAAGCATGGGTTTCTGGAATCTAGAGCCTCGCAGACGACCAATTGAGGTCCAGGACGGTCCAGGTGTTTGACACAAGGAATCATTCGATCCAAAAACTGCTGAGTCCATGGGATCTCCGAGTTCCAATCCCACTTGAGATCCTGTCTCAGGTCCTGAGGCAGTTGATTGGCGAGGGCTTGGACCTGGAGGTCACCAATACTGGTGGCCACACCCTGCTGCAGCTGGCGCAGGAGCGGGGCAAAGAGCACTGCGCCCAAGTGCTGCTGCGTGAGGGGGCCGGACGTACCCAGTGCCTTGCCTTCAGCGGGAAACTGGTGTCGTACCGAATCGTGCGAATCGTGTCCGAATCGTGTCCGAATCTCACATATTCATCAGGTGGGCAGAAGCTATGAGTTCCCACTTCTCTCAAGCTGGAAATAGGGGTGGCCCAGAAATTGGGCGGGCTCTAGACCAGACTTTGTCTCTCATCAATGCTGTTCTGTTTGAGGTTGTTTGAGGTCCACACTAACGGAATTGAACACTGACGGAATTAAAGGGTCTTAACAGGGACCAGCAGATGAACATGATGGACACAATTAAGGTTCAGTTGCTTCGGCCTCAAAACAAGTTGAGTTAGAGCAATCAAGAGGGCAACGACTTTGTGCAAGCAACAGACATCCCGCTTGGTACCAATGGTCCGGATGGGCTTTCGTCGGGCATGCCAGGCAAGAATGATGAAGCCACGAAAGGCTTCATGCCGAGTTTCACCTGCGCATTTCGGCGAAGCCTAGTGCGACCGAGGAAAAGCCACGCTTCGCTGCGTGTAGCGAGATCCTCAATCCCACACATGAGAATCATTTCACTTAGCATGTTCCAGAGGCACGGCAGCTCTGGTTTCTTTGTGCCAGAGGCCTCCCTCGGTTATGTTTCAGTGTGCCTCCCTACGTCGCCTGAGAGGTGCCCGAAATGGAAGTCGAGTACGTCAACACGTGCCGCTCGTGGTGCCACTTGGACTTCAATGCCGTGTGAGGCCACGAAGCTGAAGAGCCTCATGAGTTCCTCATGTTTTGCGTCTCGCTACGGGTGAGACATAGGAGGACAGACGTTACCCTTGTCAAAAGGCTTTCACAACTTTCACAGCAGAACGAGGTAAAGCCCATTGATAGACTGGCTAAGGCGATTTGGTGTTAACTGTCCTCCCCTCCACGATCGAAGAGCAGCCTAGGCAACTGGGTGGTTGGGTGGGCAGGTGGCTGGGGAACCTTTGTCAAAGAAACACCGTTTTCTTGCTGTTGTCAAGGGTCATGCGTGGTTTCTATGTGCCATGGAGGATCGGGGAGAATTTGAGATTGAGGCTTTGAATCCCTTTACAAACTGTTTGCCTGGAAGGATTGTCTGATTGCATCCAGAGGCCCTCTTGGCACTGAGACATTGAGGGATGGCTTTGGTTGTGAAGGCAGCACAAGCCAGACAAACTGTTGCCAGGGATGTGAAGGCAATCTTGGAGCTTACGTCCAAAGCAGACGGAAGTCTTCGGAATTGTGTCGACCGCAGTTCCGGGCCTAGATGGAGCCGGCAAACGAAGGAGGCGGTGCAGTGGCAACCACTTTGCGTTGACGAACACACTGTAGACTGTTCCGCATTAAACACCATATATATATATATGATGATATATGTACAGTACATAAATAGTACAATTGCTTTGTATATGTATAGTCAGATGCATATTTCTACAATGCATGCATGCCTTGAATATCTCAATGCTAAGGGTTTCGTAGTCTTAGGTGTTAGGCACTTCAGCATGTCGACGTCTAAACGCCCAGGCCGCGTGTGGGCACCCCTCGCAGCCCGAGCGCGAGAGGCCTGTGAGATCTCATGGCATCTCTACTGACGGAGTCAACCGAGTCATCTCGCATCACGAGGTGCGGGACAACGTGGCTGCTACGGTGGCCTCTGGCAAACTCTTAGAGTTGGAGGCACCCCGACGGGTATTAGGAAACCTAATAGCAATGGCCTCCACCCTAGAAGCGATGGCCTCCAACTAGCAATGGCCTCCACCCTAATAGGGATGGCCTCCACCCTAGTAGCGATGGCCGGAGACCGGTGTTAGGATGTGTTTGGTGTTGAGTGTCGCGTCCTTGTTTTGCTCGTAGCATCGATCAAAGTGACTGGGGTCGCCTGCGATGCATAGGATCTATTCTGGGAAAAGACTTGGGACTTTCATGTGAGGTCATACATGTTGAAGATTCAATTTGGTCCACCAGAAATAACACCACTGGAATTGCTTGCAACCTTGTAGGAGTTGGTGTCAAAAGACTTGTCGTAGCCTCAGTGCCGGAATTTTGTGGAGTCAGCAGACTGGCACTGTGCAACATGTTTCCGCATATATATATATATATATTATATATGCAACATATATATATATATATTTGTGTATATATATACATACATAGAGTGGCTCAAGCCGTTTTAGCCTCAAGCCCGGGTATAGTACTCGGGCGAGCTCGACGGCACGATCGCCTACCTCCTTGAACCCTTCTTCGGCCTGATCGGAAAGGGCAAGGTGATCCATGACTACAGGCGGCAAGTGGTGCAGAGCTTATCAAGTATGCGGCGGTGGAGGGTGCTTCAACTGGATCTGGTCGGACAAGGTGCGGGAAGGCTTTGTCTGCCGGAAGTGTGGTGAGCAATGGCCCCGACCACCTCAGGGGTTCTCGAAGGCTCCGCCATCCTGCTCACCACAGAGGGGGCCCAGACAGCAGCTCCCAGTGACGCCTCCGCCGGGCTTGAATGGCAAGGCGCCCAAGATGACCAAGCTTCAGAAAGCCACGGCTGAGGCACTGGCCCCTACTTGGACCTCTTTGGACCCAGCTTTGCAACAGAAGCTTCAGGCTTTGGGGATATCGCCACCCCCTCCTTCTCCGGGGCCGGACTTGAAGGACATCCTCATGGAGAATCTGGCTCAACTTCCATCCAATGTGAGGGAAATTGTGGAGAAGCTGACTAAGCCCTCCCCGCCCACAGAGAAGGATGTGGCCTCAAAGCTCAAGACACATGTATCCATGCTGAAGGATCTCTCGCACAAGAAGAACACACTTCAGCAGAGGATTGACTCGACCAAGAAGGCGTACCAGGATCTTCTGGATGAAATGAAGGCCATTCAGGGCCGCATCGAGTCTGAGCAGCGCTCTCTCCAAGACACCAGCACCTCGTACATGAATTTGGTCAACTCAGCAAAGCCTGACCTTGCAGGCCTGCCTGAGGCAGGGGGTGCGGACCCAGTCCCAGCGGCCGTTGCTGGATTCATCAACACCCTTGGTGTCAGTTTGACGGAGGATCAACAGCTTCAGCTTCAAAACATGCTAAAAAGGCCGCCAGCTGAAACTGATGAGGAAGCCAAGCGACGACGCACCGAGGGCACGGATCAGTCTTGCGGGTAACACCGCCCATTCGCTTCATGCATCCATGACCATCTCTCAGGGGTTTCAGACATGTCCTTTGCAGCATGTCCCTTTTTCTCTTTCTGATTGTGGGGTTTGGCACAATCAATCACCTACACCTTTGCAATCTTCAGGCTCAAATTTGGGCTCTCCGCGGGGCTTGGAGAGCTATGGGCCGCAGCGCAGGAGGCCTCCTCTGAAGGTTTTGGGAGGGGGCCCTGCGCCCTTTTTGGCCACTGAGCCAGGCATCACTGAGGAGGCACCGAGCTCCTTTACCTCAGAGCGGCCTCTCACGAGGTCCGCTTCTTTCGGGACCTCACCAGTGGCGCCTTTGGCTCGGGTTTTGACTCAGGCTATGGCGGGAGAGAACACATCTCGCCTAACGGATGGGCAGATCTTCCTCTACGATCTGTGCCAAGAAGATCTTCTTTCCTCATGCAGGAAGTACAGAGAGACCATCAGTCTCCGGCATGGCCAACAACTTCTGGCTGACCTCAAGCGCATGCAGAACATCGTACACAGACACCTCAGCCTCCCAGGAGACACCAAGCCGCCCATGGCCAATGTCTTCGTGGTGTCCCAGGTCCTGACCTCCGTCCTGCTCAACCCGGACGGTCAGAACCTTTGTTTTGGCAATGCACCCTTTCGGTGCTGGTGTTGGGCTGGGGCTTTCGCCGATGATGCGGCCAGAGCGTGGGGCCACACTCACCCGGCCGTGAGGTCCTATCTGTCCGAGCCGGAACCTCAACTCCTCCCGCATCTCCCACACCTGGAACCGATTTGGAATCGTTTTTGCCCGGGAGGGCAGGCCGATGCTGCCGACTTCTTGGGCTTTCTCTGGCAGTTTGCAGGCTCCAATTTCTTCCAAGGGAAGTTCTTCCATAGAACGGAACAGGGCCGCACAGAGGTTCGTGAGCAGATGCCATTGAACCTGTTGTTTCCTCCACGACACTCCCCGACATCGCTTGATGAACTTGTCAATGCGTGGAGTGACGAAGGAGGCGGGCAGTTCTTGTACGGCTCACCGGACGCCCTGGTCCTCCAGTTGCAGCGTTCCCAATGTGTTGATGGCACCTGGACCAAGCATTCTAGTGAACTCGACATTGGACACGACATCAACCTGCCCTTTTCAGACGATGGTCAGAATGTCCATTATGGGGCTTACAGGATAGTTGGCTTGGTTCTCCATCAAGGTGAGGACCACCTCACAGGTCACTACCAATCCATCCTTCTTATGGACAACATCATTTGGCTGGCCGACGATGGGGACTTTCCCTCTCCCTTGGCGGAGCTGACTGAGCAACAGCGCAGGGAGATCCTGCAGGTGTGGTTGGTCAAGGAACCGGAGGATGAACTTGTCCCGGACACCCAGGCTGAGATGGAGGCACCGCTCACAAAAAGGCAAAAGAACAATCATGAGACCCTCACCTTGCTCTTTGGCAATGTCACGCACTTTGGAGCCAAGGTGCAAGATTGGACATGGGCACATGGGGATGCCCTCCTTTTTCTTCATGAAACACACCTTGGAGAAGAAGGAACCACCAAGGCCATCCAGTACTACTCCAATAGGGGCTGGAAAGCCTATGGCCTGGCGGCCCACCCCACGGGCCAGGGCGGCACCACCGGGGGCTTTCTGACCTTGCATTCCACGAGGCATCTCACTCATCGAGGGCCCTCTTTCACCCACGAAGGCAATGGATGGATGGCTGTTGGCCTTCAGCGGCAAGGGATGTTGATCTACCTCATCCAGATTTATCTTAAGACTGGTGAGACTTTGCAGTCAGCAGCCAACTCCCTCATTTTGAGCAAGCTTCTGGCCTTCCTGCACCACTTGCAGGCTCCCTTCATCATTGGAGGTGATTGGCAGAACGAGCCGGAAGCATTGGCCTCCACGGTCATCCAAAGCAAGTTCCGGGCCACCATTGTCGACACCCAAGGCAACACGACTTTGCAAGGCAGTCAATTGGACTATTTGATGGTGGCCAACTCCCTCGTGGGCTCCGTCCACCTCCAGGCTTTCTGGGAAGTGCCGTGGCGGCCTCATTGTGCCTTGGAACTCAAATTGAACTGTGAGCAACCGGCACAGCCAGTTCAACAACTGCAGAGATTTCCTCCCATTGGTCGCACTTTCCAGCTTCCACACCTATGGACCAGTTTCGCGGAGGACAATGGCCCTTTCCACATCATGGATGATCTCATCACGGGGCTGGGCTCTGACTTTGCTCGCTGGGCCACGCAAACTGAGAAGTTCATCACGCAGCTGCTGCACAAACCCACGTTGGGTAGGGGCTCCAACATTTCGCTCTACCACGCGCCCTTGGTTGATACCACCACCTCCAAGAAATGGCTTCGGGGAGCGGCAGCTTTCTGGGAAAAGCTCAATGTACGCATCAACGTTGCGCACCACATGGGGCACAAGTCTATCATTGAGGACATCCGGCATATGCTTTTGGATCTCCAGCACTACTGCTCTGAAGATTTCCAGGCTGACGTTTTCAGGGCCTTGCTCACTCAATGGTTGGACACGCCCTCACAAGATCCTTCGGACTTACGGGCTTTGATATTGGAGCAAGAGCACCATGCGCAGCAACAGGCACTGCAATCCACTAGCATTGAGTTTCAAGAGTGGCTGGCCAAAGCCCGCCAAAAGGGTTTGCGAGGACTTTTCCGCAGCCTTCGACAGCGCGATCAAGCCTGGCAACGACCTTTCCAAGATCTTCCTGCCCTTGACCGCATCACCGCCAGGGAACAACAGTGGGGAGACATATGGGAACCTCTGTCAGCACCGGTCGATCTACGTGGATTTGATCAGCTCCGACAATTGGCTCAGCAAGAAGCACTCACATGGAAACCGATTGATTCCTCCCTTCTGCAGAAGCTCCTCCGACGTCTTCCAAACAAGGCAGCGGGACCTGATGGTATTTCTTATGACATGTTGAGGCATCTTCCGTACCCGGCTGTGGCCCGCCTGGCAAGCCTTCTCACAGAGATGGAACGAGAGGCTCTTTTGCCCATCCAGATGCGCTACACCAACATTGTGCTCATCCCAAAGAACAGCAAAGTCGAAAGGCCCATTGCCTTGACCTCCTGCTTGTACCGTGTTTGGAATTCCTACAGGAAGTATGACATCCACAAGTGGCAGCTGACCCTGGATGAGGCCCTGCCCTGGGACCAAGCTCGGCCTCACCGTGACTGCTTGTCCATCGCAGTGGGGAGGATGCTCAAAGCTGAGATCCGGAAACACCAAGGAATCCACACGGTCACCCGCCTGGCGGACCTTTCCTGTTTCTACGACACGGTCAACTTGGATCACATCATTGAGCCTGCTGCGGCCTTGAACTACCCTCCGGTTCATCTCAAGTTGGCCCTGGATCTCTATCGGGGGCCCAGGCTCCTTCAGGCTGAAGGGATTGCTGGCAGTCCCACTCATTATGCCAAGGGCATTCTTCAGGGTTGTCCACAGGCACCGGCCATCAGCAAGCTCATTCTCTACCGGCCGCTTCAAGCTTTGCAGCGGGAACATCCGGCTGTGGCCCTTCAGACATGGGTGGATGATGTCTCCTTTGACATCTGTGGCTCCGATCCCGACTATGTCGCTCGCGAGGCAGTCTTGGCGTACCGCACTTTGAGGGAGCACCTCACTCAGGCTGGATTGAAAGTCAACACGGACAAGACAGGGTTCATCTCCAGCAGTAAAGAGACAGCCAAGGCCCTTCAGATTCTGGTGACTGATCAAGACCCTCAGCACTATAATGTCCTCAGGGACTTGGGAGTTGATGCTACTGCTGGACGCCACCGACGGGTTGCACAGGTCAAGAAGCGATTCCTCAAAGGGCGAGGGAGGGCTGGCATTCTCTTCCGCCTCAAGCTGCAGAGGAACATTCGTTTCAGGCTTCACAAGAGCGCCATCCATCCCGTGATGTCTTGGGGGGCTCAGGCCAACGGTTTGGCTCCACAGAGAAGGCAATACATCAGGGTGACTCCAGCCAGGAGCCTCCGACTTCAGCGCTCTGGCTCCGTTGACATTGTGTTTGACATGAATCAGCAACACCCGGATCCTGGCGATTCCATCATCGAACAGCATTTGCATTCGGTCTGGAAAAACTACCATTCCTTTGATGAGAGCACCCAGCACCTTTTCTGGACTAGCTGGAACGTGGCTCTGGGCGCTCTTCAGAAAGTCCGATACCGGTGGCAGGTTGTCAACGGCCCGCTCCAGGCCCTACAAGCCTACCTGCTCGACTACGACTTTGATTTGTCAGATGGGCAAGTGTGGAAGCGCACTGGTTATGGGGGTATCCCGGACTGCCACCTCAGCTTGACCGATTGCTGGCCCATTTTGCAGTTCAAGCTTCGTGAAGAATTTCGCTGGCAACGCCTCCTCCGCATTACCAGGTATGAGGGCTGCCATGACTTGGAGAGGGTCTTGGATTGGCAAGTCAGTCTGACTTTGCAGAAGATGTCGGGCGACACTCTGGGCCCGGGCCTACGAGCACTCCATCAGGGAACCCTTCACGGGCAAGAGGGTCGCTGCCCCTTGTGTGGGGACGAGCTCACCTTCATCCACCTCCTCTGGCAGTGCAGCTTTTGGCAGGGCAAAGCCAAAGACCTTCCTGATCAGTGGAAGGAGCGCTTGGCAGCGGGCACCGAACCTGAGCTTTGGCAGCGGGGTCTCGTCCAGTCCATCTTCTACATCCAGGAGGGCGGCTTGGGCACTTTCCAAGTTGATGGTCTCTGGACGTCGGATGAGGCCTTTGACATCCCCAATGGCCATGCAGTGTCTTTGGCGGTTGCTCCCACTTGCAAGGATGTCCGCCGCAAGAGGTTTGTCTTTGTGATCTGTCTCCACCATGTCTTCACCCGCAAGCTTGTCGCCACCTTCAAGGGCGTCTGTCCGGGGCAGGCCACCAGGAGCAGGGCTGTGTTCTATGCCTTGAAACATTTGGCGCTCCACAGCAAGGAGAAGCTCACCATTGCCATTTATGACCATGCTGTTTGGCGGGCTTGGCAGATGTCCCGAGCCTATGAATGCTTTCCGGACCTTTTTGAGGGCCTGGAGCCGGATGACTTCACCCAAGTTCGGCCTTTGCTATTTGGGAAGAAAGAACTCGATCCCAACGCTGCACGGCATTTCTTCCAGCAAGAGGCTGAGAAAGAAGCCAAGAAGTTCGCCAAGGCCTCCCGGAATGAAGACATTCTGGACTTGCAAAAGAGCATTGACGAGGACACCAGGGACATCCTGTGTGTCGCCGCGGGCCGGATGAACACACTCCTCAAGGACAAGTCCCATTTCTTGCACAAAGGCGACCAGCAGCAGAAGTCTCAGAAGGTTCCCCTGATTGCACAAAAGAAGGAGCTCCTGCAACAGTTGCTTCAGCGGCCGGACGCTGGTGGTCACTCTTGGCGGGCTTTCCGCTCTGGCGCTCAGTGCTCCCAGTGCAAGCAGAGGCTCCATTCGAAAAGCCTGGTCGGTGATCTCAAAGGTGCCCTGGCTTCCACCGGTCAGATGGCCACCCCAAAGACTCCCACCAGGCGCACTCGCTTTGAGGTGATCAATGATCTCATAGCTGCCCAGACTGGTGTGCAAAGAGGAGTCCACCACTTGCGACTTGAGAAAGCATACCTACGGTGCTCCGAGTGCCATGACTACATACTTGCAAGGTGTCGAGAGGACGCTTTCTGCACCTTCGTTGGTGCCCCATGCAAGGTGGGACCTCTGGAGCCCTCTCTGTGGGAAGGGCACCCTTCGCACACTATGGAGAGAAGGGGAAAGATGGCCACATGCACCCGCTGTGGTGGGAAGGCCAGGTTCGTGGAGGACAAGCTCGAACTCACCGAGCGCCTTCGCAAGCGATGTGTAGCCCTGCAGTCAAAGGACTTGAGGGCATGGTTCACTTGAGCTCTCATGCACAGAAAAGGCGTGCAAAAAAAAAATAAAAAATACATACATAGAGGTCCGCTGCAAACGCTATTAGTTTCAACATTCGAGATGTATTCGGATTCGGGGATCAGATTCGAGGAACCTGTCGCGTGCCATCAAGTTGCTAGACGAATTCAGCGAGCTGTGTGGCCGTCTTGTTTCGATCCCAACATGCCCCTCAGGGCCTCAGATGATTTGACACAGCCCAATGCATCGCCTGGTAAGCCACAGACAAGCAGCAGAACCATCTCGAGCTTGGATTTCGAGGAATTGAAGTACCTCTAGTAGGGACGCTTGGTGGAGGCCATCGCTATTAGGTTGGAGGCCATCGCTACTAGTAACAAGAAGCTACTAGTAGCAAGGTGGCTCAATGGTCCAAGTCACCAAACTCATTGTGCTTGGTACACTTGGAAGCTCGGTACGGTCGAGATCCGCCAGGTGCGTCAATCCGGATGAGACCCAGAAAGTGAAGCTCCGAGGTTGGGAGAGCGAGAGCGGCACTGAGAGGGCGCGGTTTTGGAGGGCTGCCTGAGAAGGTTTTGAGGGGTTATGAAGTCCAAGACTGTATATTTTTTACTTCCAGAGGGTTTCAAACGACTTCGTCCAACATAATCCAACGACCATGTGATTTTTTGAACGCGCACTCAAACTTCAACTGGCCAGCGGGGAGCAAGATTCATTCAAACTGGACTCTCTTCACACCAACCAGTTTTTCTTTGAGTGTAGCACATCTACCAAAAAAAGCTCGTGCTGATTGGATAACGCTCAATGAAGGAGTTGTAAGCATGCTGTATTCTTGAGCAGACAGTCAGACAGAGGACGTTTTCTATCAGCCAGCAGTACATGACAAAACATATCATATATTTGCTTTTAAGCCAGAGACCCCCTGGTCTGGAGGCTGCATTTCTACGTTGGTGGAGACCATCCAGAGTGCCTTTGAGCAGGCAATGTTGTTGTCAAAGCCGGTGTTTTAGTGACCTTGGGCTTGATGCCAGAATCATTTTGGCACCAACCATGTTGCAAGGAGAGTGAGTACTGTTTGAGTGCAGTGCCCCTGGCTCCCTGTTGGTAATGTATTTTCCGAGTGAACTCATTCTGTTCACAAAGCGCCTCTGCAGACAAATTGACAAATTGATCAAATTGATCCAACAGTGCCATCCTAGTTGCTACTAGGAGCAATGCCGCTACTAGGGGCTCTTGGCCGTACTACTAGGAGCAAGGATGCTACTAGAAGCAAAGGGCATCGCTACTAGGAGCAAGGACGCTACTAGGAGCAAAGGGCATCGCTACTAG